TGAATAGTGTCAGCCTTTGCATTTGTGGTTCCACCCACAAGCCCTAAGTCTAGGGCAAGTCTAAGGCAAGAAAGGAAAAAAATATTATGCAACAAAATATAAACAATTTAGAAAGTGAATAAAATTGTTATGTATTTATAGGGAAAACATCTATAATTTTTTGGTATTTAAAAAAAAAATTTGAAAATTTTTTGGATATTTTTTGAATTTTTTTAAATATTTTTTTGCTCGCTGACATCAGCGTGACGTCACAAAACTCGGTTTGAAGCCCAGGCAAAACCTGCCCTTGGGCTTGCCCGGGCTGGTGGGACCCATGCCAAACCGGGCTGCAGGCTGCAGCGCTGGAGCTGCTTGGGCTTGCGAGGGGGGCCTTTTGCCCGGTTCTTCTCCTGCGCTGGAGATGCTCTTAGATAGAGCACAAAATCAACACCAAATAAAATGGCAGATGTTTTGCTGAAGTCTGATAGCATCCAAGTAACTTTATACAAAGTTCATCTAAAAAAGTAACTTTATACAAAGTGAGATAAAGTCCTCATGTTAACAAAAATATACATCTCATTATTCAACACTTAATGTACATATACAAATATCTATTGCTTCCAATTATATTTATTGTTGTTGAGGTCATAAAAATTTGCTCCAAGTCTATTTTTCTTTTTAATAAACAAAAGTTTAGGAGAGGGAGAGGCTACTCCCACATCTAGGGCCGTGAAAAACCTGGGGACCTAAAGCCGGTTGAACTGACGCAAGGGAAGGGACTATTATCTCTCCTACCCCCAATATGGAATTATACAGAACATTTTCTAAATTACCCACCAACATGGGACTGCTGGTAGCAGATATATTGTTTGTTCTTATCAGTCAAAAGGAAAGGGAGGAGAAAAATTCATACAGGAGTTCTATTTGCTTCTGTTTTGGTCCTGGTTTAATTGTATTTTTGGGCTTTGTTTCTTTGGAATATTGGGCTGTAGTTTGGGATGGTCTTCGACCAAATATTTGCATTAATTTTCAATCAATATCAAGTAATTCAATATGGCAACACTATGCTATTTACACAGTGGTCTTATCTTCGAATCCTAGTTGTGAAAAATTTCCCTTTCTCTTGTAATTTAGATTAATCGCTTGTATTAAAAACTAAAATTGCTCCTTAATTTCTATGTACGTTCCCACTATTTTGTCCACGTTCCATGTTAAACTCCTCTGATTTTCCTAGAAGTTTTCCACTTTTTCATTTTGACCTTGTGGATTTCTCAGATTCATGCTTGTCAGCTTTAGCTATTCCATGAAATCTTAGCTAGATGGAATGACTATAGTCCACACATGAAATCGATTGTTGGAATTTGAATGACACACCCAAGAAAGAATTGTAGTGTAGGTACACCCTTGAAGGTTATAGCTGTCAGACTGGCTGCTTATGCACTTTCCTTCTCACTTCCCATGTGCTATTGGAATTGGAAATTTGGACCACAGACAGCTAAGTTCCTCACCACCATCTTCCACGCTACTAGTAAATACTAATGCATTATGCATGCTTAATTTAGTTTAGCCCACTGAAATTTCCTCAACTAAACCTTCAAATTGATAATGAAATCTTTGTTTCATTTTGGCTGTTGGTACGTGAATGTGATCAATCAAGGAATTTTGGTCTGATAATTATACATTATGCAATCTTTTGTTTGTGAATGGATATGAATGTAGGTTGCTTTCATTGTTAGTTTTGTAGCATTGTCAAACAAATCTTTTTGTTATAGATATCCAATGCCCTATTGTCCGTTGTTTGGTTGTGCATGCAAGTTGTTTGACAGGGTGGAAGATTGAATGCTTGCTTTATAAGTCACTTTACCACTACTAACTACCAAAAGTGACATCCTGTTTTATGTCCAATTTAGCTTCAGCCCAGCAAAGATATGGCTCTGTTTTGTCCATGGGTCAATTGTGTCCTGCATGGCATGTTGTCTACTTGTACCAATCAGTTCATCTACAATTTTGTATATAAACCCTAACCATGCCATCCAAGATGCCTCACACTCACTTTTGCCCACAACCCATTTGTGAAAATGCCTCAGTACTACATTCTCTTCCTCTTCTCTCTCATTTTCTTCTCCTCCTCTTCTCATGCTTCTGTCCAAGACTTTTGTGTGGCAGACTTGAAAGGCCCAGATGGCCCTGCAGGCTACCCTTGCAAGAGCCCTGCTAATGTCACTGTCAGTGACTTTGTGTTCTCTAGCCTAGCCAAAGGTGGAAACACCACCAACATAATCCAAGCTGCTGTGACCCCTGCATTTGTGGCTCAGTTTCCTGGTGTCAATGGGCTTGGCCTCTCTCTGGCAAGGCTAGACTTGGCGCCAGGTGGAGTCATCCCATTCCACACACACCCTGGTGCTTCAGAAATTCTGGTTGTGACAAGAGGCCACATCACAGCAGGCTTTGTTTCCTCAGCCAACACTGTGTACTTGGAGACTCTTAAGAAGGGAGATGTCATGGTTTTCCCTCAAGGGTTGCTGCATTTTCAAGTGAATGCTGCTAAAATACACTCCAGTGCCTTTGTTAGCTTCAGCAGTGCAAGCCCTGGTCTCCAAATCCTTGACTTTGCCCTCTTTGCTAACAACTTGCCTTCTGCATTGGTGGGGCAGACCACTTTCCTTGACCTTGCTCAGATCAAGAAGCTTAAGGGTGTTCTTGGTGGCACTGGCTAAGCCTTGCTGATTTGTTAATTGAAGTTTTTCTTCCTTGTAAGATTGTAAGATCATACTTTTGCTCTGCATCTATAATTAAGCATTTATTTAGTTCAATTTGTATTTTTGGTCTTGTATCCATTCATAAAGTTTTCATGCGATAACTTAACCCAAAAAAAAAGAAAAAAAACGCAACAAAAGTAATACTAGTGTTCTATTTCCATCGCCAAATTAAAATCATGGCAAACAAATCTGAACTGGTTCTTTGTATATATGTTATATTTAGCTCTGCATGGTTATTAAACTACAATTGTCTATCTCCATGCAAGAATGATTCATTTTCAAACTCATAATTCATTACAACAAAAAAAACCCCCTAAAACTAGGGTCGGACTCGGAAGCAGGCAAGCAGCCTTACTTTATTTCCACCTCTGTTGAGCTTCACACAAAATTTTAGTTTATACACAACATCATTTTACTTTATTGTCGAAAAATACACATGTATACATGTCAATATCTTACTTGTTAAAAGTAAATCAAGTTAAGAGATCATATTTGAATATATTAACATGGTGTCACATCATTTAGTGAACAAAATTTTTGCCAGTCATGGAATTTCGGGATCCAAAGTTGTACAAGAAGTAAAATATATTCATGAAGTTAAAACAAATAGTGTTCAACACGTTCCAGATATACAAAATGAAAGGGATCTTGGGTTTCAGTCTATCTCACTTGATTGGCTTAAAAGCAGAGAGGTCATTTGGATTTTGCTCCTAGAAATACAATCATTCATCTGCCATGTATTTTAAGTTATCATGAAATGGGTTTTCCTGGATCTCAGAGGTCCTGCAATATGTAACATTTATCATCTAAAGAAAAGAGATACATGCAACGTCTATGTGTGGACTTTTCAAATTGAGTAAGATGCAGCCATAATGGGTTTAGGTATGGAGTCAAAATTACATATGAGACCACAACATTTGAAACCAATCATTGGAATGAGAAAATGCACCTCCTCCTTTGGGAATGCAAAATCCCTATTTTCTGAGATCTAGTTTAGACATCCGTGGTAATGAGAAACCCACCATTCCTTTCTCATGTTTGCACCCAAATGGACACATGAGCTAAAATAATAATTTAACCATTTTTGTTTCTTTACTTTTCTTTTTCTTCCTTTTCTAGAGTATTCTCATTGCCCAAATGGAAATGGGCCATATTGGTAGGACATTGACTGACCACGACTTTTCAATTATGTTGGATGACTTTGGATTAACTGGTTTGGCTGTATGTTATCTTCACTCTTACTTTTGGAAAATAAGAAAAACACAAAGCAGAGGAAAGCATCCTCCACCTCCCCTGCATCATTACAAAATTTAAGTACACTGCCTTTCAAATCTTGTAAAAACAGATTAATCATGTTCCTCACAGGTAGATCATGTTACTTTTATACATACAATGAATGCGTTAAGCAAACCTATTCTGATACAATCTGATGTTTTGTAAAAATATTTCTTTCTAGTTGTCAGCAGTTTGATCTTCACAGACAAGAGGATGGCAATGCAGATTTTCCCGGAAAGTGTGAGAAAAATCTGGAACGAGTGGGAGCTTCGGGCTATGGTTTTGATCAGCCTCAGCTTGCAGGCCATCCTCATCCTCATTGGCAGCTGGAGAAAGCACTCAACCAGTAACATACTCAGAATTGTTCTGTGGCTTGCTTACTTGTCAGCAGACTCAGTTGCAACAGTCTCACTTGGCATACTCTCCAACAACCAAGAAGACTCTCCAGGTGATTCTGTCAATCCAGACTATATAATAACAGCATTTTGGGCACCCTTTCTTCTCTTGCATCTTGGTGGCCCAGATACAATTACTGCTTACTCCTTAGAAGACAACGAATTGTGGTTGAGGCACTTGCTTGGGGTAGCTGTCCAGGTGCTTGTAGCTTTCTATGTCTTCTTAAGAGCATGGTCCAATAAAGTGCTGAATTTTTTGGCAATACCAATGTTCATAGTTGGGATTATAAAGTTTGGGGAGAGGACTTGGGTTCTAAGGTCTGCAAGTAGTGAGCATTTTAGAGAGTCCATGCTTCCTCATCCTGACCCTGGTCCCAATTATGCTAGATACATGGAAGAGTACAGCTCTAAGAAAGCTGAGGGATTCAAGGTTGAACTAGGACCACCCATTGAAGCTCCAAAAGCTGAGAATAATTCCAACGATGCCGGAAGAGTACCTGATGACAGTATCCAAAAAGCTGTAATTTTAAACAAAGCCTACAGTTTCTTTGAAACTTTCAAGCGGCTATGTGCTGATCTCATCCTCAGCTTCCAAAATATAGAGAAAAGCCAAACATTCTTCCAAAATAGAAACTCAGAGCAAGCTTTCGAAGTCATTGAGATTGAGCTAGGATTCATGTATGATGTGTTTTATACTAGAGCTGTCCTAGTTCATTCTCGTCTCGGTGGTATTCTCCGTTGTATCAGCCTTTCTCTCACAGTTTCGGTATTCCTGGCCTTCTTGTTCAAAGAGAAGCATTCATACACGGGAGTGGATGTAGCTATCACATATGTATTGTTGGTAGGAGCTATCATCCTGGAAATGTATGCTGTGGTCATGCTACTTTCCTCAGACTGGACAACGCTACAGCTGAATAAGCACAAAAATGGGGTGTTGAAGCCCTTCCATAAAGCCGTTTCATCAATCCCATTGGTTAAAAACAATAGGTGGTCTAATAAATTGGGACAATACAACCTAATAACATTTTGTCTCAAAAAGAGGCCAGCCAAGTGCATTTTTATTAAGGAGGACTTATTCATAAATAAGTTGTTAGAGAAGTATCGATACCAAGACTCCGAGGATGTTTCCACAGAGTTGACGAATTTGATATTTATGCAGCTCAAAGAGAAATCGAAGAGTGCTTCGAATTTCGACGCTTGCAAGCAGTTATGTGCTAATAGGGGTGCCCAGGCGCTTCATGATGCAAAGTGTGCAAATGAACTTGGCTGGGCCATTGATAGGGTTGAATTTGAACAAAGCATCCTTCTCTGGCATATTGCAACAGATCTTTGTTATAATGCTGACGTGAAGGGAAACAGTGACTCCGACGCTGTACCTAACCAAAATTGTAAAAACAGCAAGCAGTTGTCGAACTACATGTTGTACCTTTTAGTCATGTGCTCCTTCATGCTGCCAAATGGGATTGGACAGATAAGGTTTCAAGACACATGTGCTGAGGCTGAGGATTTTTTCACAGAAAGAAAATCCATAACCGACGAGGAAAAGGCTTGTGCAATGCTACTCAAAGTGAGCACAGACATCTCTCCATCTGAAGTGAAAGGAGATCGAAGCAAGTCGGTTCTATTTGATGCATGCAGGCTTGCTAAAGCTTTGCAGTCCATGGAGGTTGAGGGACATTGGGGGACTAATGAGAAAAAGTGGGAGTTGGTAAGTCAAGTGTGGGTGGAAATGCTCTCTTACGCAGCCAATCGGTGTCGATGGAGTGATCATGCTCAACAGCTCAGGCGAGGAGGCGAGCTGCTCACTCATGTTTGGCTGCTTATGGCACATCTTGGTTTGACTGAACAGTTCCAAATTTCAGAGGGCCATAAAAGGGCAAAGCTGGTTGTGCAGTAAACAAATGATGCACACAAGTTTTAATATTTTATTTAGGAGAGTGTGGTCTGTATTTATCTTTTATTATTTCTTGTTTTGGACTGAACTGCATTATTATGATCTTTAGGAATTCTGATTCTCTGCATTTAACTAGGTCCATCGTGATAGTTTTGTTGATCACATTGCATGAAGTTACTCTTCATGGTGCTGATATAAAAGGAACCCCACGAACTACTTATCTCACATGAACTCATGATATCTCTCTTTTTAAGGATTTCAAAGGCGGAAGAGAAGTATAGCAGGACCTGTGGCTTGTGCATGTTAAAGTTTCAAGCACGGCGGCAGTGCTAACGGAGAGTCAGATGAAACTTATTTCTCAAACTAAACGAACTTGTACTCTGCTTGCTAGGTGCCCAGAAACAGAGTAAAAAGGGTAAAAGAACTAAACAAAATATCAGAGCGCACCCAAAATCTTGTAATAATGCATTGGAAAAAATCTTGTAATAATGCAGTGGAAAAGAACAAAAGTGTAATAATGCAGTGGGGTTGTAGGGCTCAATCTTTTCTTTTCCTTGTGTCTTTGTCAAAGAGCAACAAAGTAATGGCGATAAGAACACTATTCAAATTGGTAGGTATGGTAGGTAGTAATGGGACTGTGAATATACACTGGGAGTCAGTCAACCAGCAAAATTACAAACCGTACTGCAGTTAATCGTAACGTAATCAGGATGTACATATGAAATACATATTGTATGTATACATATCTGTGGGAGCAAATTTCCTCCCACGAGAATATTCCGTTGAAAGATTCCCCTTTCTTCTTCGCCGCCTCCTTCTCCCTGCAAAATAAATTGGATAAGAGGACCACACACGGGGGGTGTTGGCCAAAGGCCCTCCGATGCCTAAGTTAGTTCAATTGATTTAGGTAAAAATCAATAGCTAAATAGGGTACGGAGATATATATGTGTGGTGAAAACCGGGCGGCCGGAGCCTTATGTAAAAAAGAGAGAGAGAGAGAGAGAGAGAGAGAGAGAGAGAGAGAGAGAGAGAGAGAGGAGGTGGCTAGGATTTGTGAATGGAAGAGCTCTCTAGAGTTTTAGTAGAAATTCTGACGTACCTCATTCCTTGTGCGTGGCCAAGTATTTATAGGGGGCCTTGACGAGGTTGGTGTGGTTGGTGAGGTAGGTGAGGTTGGTGAGGTTGGTACATTTAGGGATTTGATTAATTAGGGAATCAATCAAATCCCTAATTGTGGTAGGTGAGGTTAGTGGGGTTGGTGTATTTAGGGATTTGATTAATTAGGTATTTCTCAATTTAATTGGATAACCCCCAATTAAATTGAATAACCCCCAATTAGGTTTAGTAATTCCCAATTAGGTCAAATAATCCCCAAAAGGAAGGAATTACTTGACCTAGGGTTCTGATTTAATTTGGTTCCCACAAATGCCCCCCAGCTTCTGCATGGCGCGTGGTTGCATGCAGGAGATGTAAATCATCTGTTAGGCTAGCTGTAACTGGGCTTTCTTCTTGGATTTGGGCTCCTGAGTGGAGGAAGTTGGTGGTCTACCCCTAGCCTAGGATGTTGAGAGATGGGAGTAGAATCGTCCATACTCTGATGATCTGCTAGTTGGGCAGGAGAAGTGTTCTGCCAGTCTCCCCTCCTGGGTGTAGACAACAAGAAGGTTGGCGCTATGCGAGACACTCGGGACGTTCTGCTCAAGCCTCCTGCTAACAAGCTCGGAAACCGTGATCTGCTCCATGAATTAGTCCGCTCGCGAACTAGTTCGCCTGCCGAGAAGCAAAGAGATGATATTCCTCTCCGAAGTTCGAGTTGCCTGCACCAGTTAAAGGATGGAGATCGAAGCGGGAGGTCTGCTCATGGCTCGGTTGTTGAGACGCGGGCAGTCAAGAGTGGAGTTGATTCTGCCTCATGGACTTCTTTGGAGGCGAGTTTGGCAGAGGCTAAGAAGATGAGAGAGTCATCTGCCCGAGCGAACGGTTCTTCTGCAACGTCAGCTGTTGGTCCCAAGGTTGACAAGCCCAACCCCACAGGAGGTGCATGCGTGTCTGATCTGCTCAAGACGAACTTTCTGTCAAGCCCATCCACTTGTGCTGAATTGGTTAACCACGTCCACCAGGCCGGCGAACTTGGCACCCTCTCGAGTCTTTCCTTGGAAAAAAAAAGGGAAGCGACACTCCATTTGCTTAAAAAAGGATTAGTTTTTGCTGCTGAAATTATCTGAAACTCGTCTGTTGTTGCCCCCTCTTCTTCTGGTGACTTGGTTAGTCGAAAAGATGCCTACTTTCGTCTTGAGTGCAAGAATGCTGACGTCTCATTTGGTTATGACAAGCTTCTTGCTAAGTTTGGCTCCTATAACAAGTCTGCATTAGAGATGGAGACATTGAGGTGCTCTGTTCCGACTTGCTCCATGTGCAAAGTGAGCAGGTTAATGCTGTGAACATGGCAGGAGCTGAAGAGCAGGCAGCCGAAGAGGCAGTAGCTGAAGATGATGAAGCAGAGGAGGATGCAGCAGATGAGGTAGTGGCAGACGTCGCGTATCAAGCAGGTGGAGCTGCTGAGAACGTGGCTAATCAAGCGAATGCCGAAGAGGCTGTAGATCAGAACGGGGGGTGTTGGCCAAAGGCCCTCCGATGCCTAAGTTAGTTCAATTGATTTAGGTAAAAATCAATAGCTAAATAGGGTACGGAGATATATATGTGTGGTGAAAACCGGGCGGCCGGAGCCTTATGTAAAAGAGAGACAGTTGGTCAGCTTGCTATGGAAATTTCATTTATTTTTTCAACTTCAATTGGCATATTGACTTGTGGACTATTTGAGTAACCAGCCTGCATTTTGATTGCGCATCTTCTTTTGGAGATTTACGATTGCCAGGGTCCCCCTTAAGGGACTCCGTGCGTGTTCTGCGCATCCCGTAAGATGTTTTTCCCTTAGGAAATTGGCGAGGGCCAGGGTCCCCCTTAAGGGACTCCGGGCGTGTTCTGCCTATGTCCAAAGACATGTCGATGAGAGTGGCCCGTTTAGTGTACGTCTGGAGACGTGTCGAGGAGAGTGGCTCGTTTGGCCTACGTTTGGAGACGTGTCGATGAGAGTGGCCCGTTTGGCCTACGTCCGGAGACGTGTCGATGAGATTTGTGAATACTCCATTAGAAAGAAAAGTTTGAACTTGTATTGATGTCTATTTGACTACATTGCTTTATTGAACAAAAGAGATGAGTCGTAGGGGTAACATCAAAAGTAACTTGTCTTCAATGGAGGTGAGGGAGGCTTGGCCGCCTACTTGGAGCCGAGCTGATAGGTGAGGAGCTTCATGGATAGTACCCCCGGAGGAAAAGTCGCTTGCTTGATCTTTCTCTGCTGCTCCTCGGTGGTCAGCTCAGGCTCTTAGAGTCAGCTAGGATCGTACTGATCCGCATGACTTTTTTTTTCGTAGAGGCTCATTGGCAACTGCGTCACGTTCCTCGATTTGCTGGATAGCTCCCCTTGCAATGAATTCCGTGCAATGGCCGTCTTCGACCAGCTCTTCGAGGTGCTTTTTCCAGGCGAAGCAGTCCTTTGTGTAATGACCGTGCCCTTCATGGAATTCGCAGTATCTACTGGTATCCTTCTTGGCTGGGTTTCCCTTCAAAGGCGATGGTTTCTTCAACCAAGGAGCGTTCTTTACTTGGGCCAGGATCTGGTGTATCGGGATAGTGAACTTGGTATAGCTCTCGGCTGCTGGGGCACCTCCCTGAGGCTGTAATCCGTGCTTGCCTCCATCTTTGTCATTTATCCTGCCGTTCCTTTGGCTTGCCCGCTCAACCGGTTGATCGGCTTGCTTGGCAGCCTTCCT